ACATGAAGATGTGGAAGGATGGAAACCAGTGTGCTCCAGTTATATGACTCATCCATGTTTTGCACAACCTTCAACATATGTAGCACAACCCAAGATTGCAAGCAAAATGTCAGTAACACCAACTTTGAATTTAAATGTACAGAAGCCAAACACAAGTGAAGACCATGTTTTTAAAGTGCCTCAAGGATTGTCTCCATTATCCGCTAAACGAAAACTGGATACTTTATTCCCAAAGGGCACCATCGAGAAAATAATGGCTTTTTCCCACAGAGAAAAAAAGTAAAAGAAGAACTTTTGCAAAGACTAGAACTTAATACAGCAAAAGATAATAAAAGAAATGATTTTGACAGTACTAATAGGTGACACAGGTAGAAAATTACACAATAATTTCAGTAATATCAGAACTGGCTACCACTTATTTTAGTTTATGCAAATGATTTTAATTCATTTTATCGACGATTGCAGATTCAAAAGTTATCAAGTCATAATTCTCATGATGTGCGATTATGAGGTTATTAAAAGTTATGCTCAATTCTGTTGCCTTGATATTGTAAGAGTGCAAACTTTGCAAAAAGTTATCTTCAATCTAACGAAGGATATATTCTTTTTTAAATGTGGGGTCCAAATCTTTTCCTAAATACGAAAAGGTTTTCGAATTATAGGATAGTCCTTGTTTCAAGACCCTCATTAACGAAAGTTTCTATGATGCACTTAAAGAGACATTGTTCCCATTAAAATTGCAGTATTTGTCTAGAAATGCTTAGTATTACTATAGCCCCTGTGTGTATTATATTAGGATGTGATGTATATTTTGTTTGAGTTAAATATGTGCACATAGTCAGTGTGAGTATAGCTCTAGAGGGCCAGGTCAGTATTTCGATGATGTCCCAATTCCAATTAATTGATAAAATTACATATATCCTCACAAAATGGAATCCAACATTTTTTTTCAAATTGAAGGTTGCTTTCTTTGAGACAACAATGTACATTAAAAAAAACTAAAAATCACTATATTGACCCCCCCCCCCCCAAGCATATTTAATTGCATTTGTGGGCATGCATTAGTATATTGACCTCGTCTCTAAATACATGTACAATATATTGAAAAATACAAGGTGTCCATAAAGTCCCTTTACAATTCTCCAGACAAAGTCTGTGTGAAGTGTAAAAAGACTTTGTGGACACTCTAAATATTGAATGAAAAGCAATCCAGTGCATAGAATCAAGAATTGGCTGTTGCTCCATTCTTCATACTGAATATTGCATTTCTTGTGGCATTGCTCCAGACTCAATCCAATAAGTGACTCAGACCTGGTGAGAATGCTGGTAGGCAATTATGGTAATTGTAGAAATTAGAAAATTAAAATCTTAATTGATTTCTCATTGTCAGATTGTAGTTCAGTTGTAATCATTATAAGTAGAAGTGTAAAAAAAACAGTACAAGGTTTGCACTGTTATAAGTTAAACCATATTGAAGCGCACAAAGTGAGTAGAATTGGTAAAAAAAATATTTTCATAGATGCATGCTCGGGTAAAGAGGGTATTGACAAATAAGCACATGCGAATAAATTTATTGTAATTATCACAATCATAGGGGACATTTCCTGTAGTCTCCTCTCTCGATACTTTATTAATTAGCATTAGTGAAGAGGGATGTATGGTCCGATGGACATGTACAGGGTGTACATTAAGTAAAAATTGTTACCAAAGCACCCGCTGAATACTGTCATTGAGTGACAGCATAGTATTTTCAATACTCATAAATAAGTATTTGAAAGCAATTATGAACAAAATTTAGAGGAAAATTACCTTTACTAATTGAACACCCTCTACTGTGTACTTAAAGGTAAAGGTAGTACATGTGATATTGATAATGCTGATCAATTTACCCATGTACAGTGTATCCATAAAGTCTACTATTACAATACAAAGTCTGTATAAAGTGTAACAAGACTTTAAGGACACCCTATATCAGCATGCACCGGGTTCAATTCAGTTGTCCAGAATTTTGAAGTAACTCCTATATAAACCATGCACATTTCATGTTATTAGAAAGTTTGAAAGTTTAATCCTAAAATAACTTTCTAAGTAATTTATTTATAACTTTTGTACTAAGAATATAAAAGTATAAACTACAAACAATTTAATTTGTTGATTTGTCAGTTATATTGTTTTAGTTTGTGGTATTTTTATAGTACCCTTCGGGGGCTGCATTGTGATCAGTGTGTTTAATCTTGTCTGGTTATGACATATCTTAATCTGGTTAATTAATTAGCTTTGAAAATGTGAAATAGATGGCTCTCACCTTCAAAGGTTTTTACACTTTGCTGCATTAAACAAGTATTTTCATCAAAAATATATAAAAATCATTGAGATTAAGCTGTGAATTTCATCTTTGCAATCATAGCTTAGATTTTTATTCAAATATAAACTGAAAAGATTGTCCTAAAGGTTTCAATATTACTGTATGTCCCAAACAAATAAGATAACTGCCATGTTAATTTTTGTGCCTTTAAACTTTTGAATTTTATGATTTCATCTGGTAAAATGCGAAAAACATTTCATGTGAGAGACATCTATGATGCATAGGGCCATATTAATAGACGTCACAACTTGACGTAAATAGTTGTATAATTTTTCACATGAAAGTGAATGTGCATGTAATATGTGTTTACCAGTTGATATTTAAATCAATTTTGTATAAATACCACTTTGGTATAAATACCACTTTGGAAAAATACCACTTGAGTATGTAATCCACTTTGGTAAATATGCCACTTTCGTATGTATAATGTATTCCACATTGGTATTCAAATCACTTTATCAAAAAAAAGTTGCAGATTTAGATGTATGTGTGTAATTTGAAAATGAGACACCTTCTGACCTGCATGGCAATATAACTATTTTCCTATAACTTCTACAAAAGCCATTTGTACTAAAAAAGATGATAAATGGTAGATGAGGTTCATTAATACTTGTTTAATTGTGATGTTATAAAATAGTATCCCAGATTGTGTTCATATGATTGGCTATTTTATATGTACTGTAGTTACACTGCAATGAGTGCAGTGTAATTATGAAAATAAACATTTTATATAAAACTAGAAAAAATATATATTTGTATATTATTCAATTTGTAACTTCGAGTTATGAAGAAAATGCTCTTTAGTCATACCTTTCAAAAGTGATCTTGGTATGCTATTAAGCAAGACCTTGATAAAAGATGCTAGACGAGTCAATTTTTACAATACAGTAAAACTTGTGTATATTGAACATTTTTTGCTATGAAAAAACATTCAGTGTTGGTAGGTGTTCACTACAGAGAGGGTGATTTAGTGAGAGGTGTTCACAAAGACAGGTTTTACTGTAGTTATTGAAGGTGTTTCCAATATATGCCCTAAATCTAAAATTCCTAACTGGCAATTTAGACTTGTGTTTTTGCATGAAGCGCACGTGTAACCTTCTTCCTTATTGAGGAATTCAATATTGGAGTAGAGGCAGCAGATTATATATATCTATATATCTATAATTCTGGAAGAAGGATAGTCCTGTATAATCCAGATCTTTTTATGTATTATTTTCATATCATGTTAAGGGGGGCGTTGTTTAATTGCTCACTGGACATGGGTTAGTTGTGGTGAAGGAATTTCTGTCTCATCAGGTGCTTGTCAATTCCATTCTTGAATTGATTTATATCTGTGGTGTCTATTACAGATTGGGGAAGATTGTTCCATGTGTTGACGATTCTATTTCCAAATACATTTTTTCTTACATCGAGTCTGCTATATCTGTGGCTTAATTTTTCTGTATTCCCTCTCGTCATCTTATTTTCTGATTTTTGTGCAATGTCCATGAGTTTGATTCTGTCATAACCATTCACTATCTTGAATACTTGTATTAGGTCACCTCTAGTTCTTCTATATTGGAGGGAGGGGAGTTTTAGTTGTTTCATCCTATCATAGTAGCTTAAGTCTTTTAAGGTTGGTACTAACTTGGTGGCTCTTCTTTGTACTTTTTCAATTTTAATGATGTCTATATTTGTATAAGGACTCCATATACTATTTCCATACTCAAGGTGGGGTCTAACGAGGGATTTGTAGAGAAGTGGTAGGGTGGTTTTGTCCAGATGAGAAAATGTCCTTTTTATTAATCCGAGGATGCTATTTGCCTTGGCTACTTGTATGTCGATATGTTTATGAAACTTAAGTTGATTGTCTATGTTGATTCTAAGATCTTTTTCTAACACTGTCTGTTGTAGGGTTTTATTGTCCATGGTATACTCCTGATTATCATTTTTGTTTCCTAAGTGCATTACTTTACACTTGTCAGTATTAAAGGGGAGTTGCCAATCTTTTGACCATTTTGTCATTTTATCTAAGTCCGATTGTAATTGTTTTTTGTCTTCCTGGTTTTGTACACAACCATACAGTTTAGCATCATCTGCATACATTAATATTTTGTTCTTTGTAGCATCTGGGAGGTCATTTATGAAAATAGAAAATAGGGATGGCCCAAGGCAGGTCCCTTGAGGGATACCTGATACAACAGTGGCCCATTCTGACGCTTCTCCATTTACTAGTACTCTTTGAAATGGTGCAAGATTCTCAAATCTGATTCTTATCAAAAAATGGTTTTTATGATTTTTATGATTACAACTCCTTTTCAGTCATTTTTGTAGATCTTTGATTCATTAAACATGTTGGAACATGGTGAATTGGCTTACTTTGACCTTGACCTTATTTGTATGATAAAGTGATCCAGATTATATTTGAACTTCTTGTGAGGTCATGGAGTCTATGGTAACTTGTCTAAATATGTCACTCCTGGTAGTCTTGACTGGTAGAAAGGTAACAAATGGGAGAAGTCTTGCCCTCAGCTCATCCACCTGATGTGGTGACATGAACACCATATGGTTGGAGAATAAATTGTTAGGGCGAAGGGTGGGGACTTGATTGAACACAATTTTTTAGAATCATCACATCAATAATTGACATTAAGGCAAACGTGAGAACTTGCTTTGCCCTCTTTAGATTTCACATTCAACACGTTTATGGTCAGGGAATGATTGAAGTACTGATTGGAGACTGTCTCAACCAAATACAGCCAAACAATCAGTCACAATGATTTATAGATGTCGCTTCATGACGTCATTAGAGATTTCCTTCCAAGATGGCTGACAACACATTATACGAAATTCTCGGAGTGACAAGAGGAGCTTCTGATAGCGAAATTAAAAAGGTAATGATTTCATTGTATAGTTTTTCGTAATCTTGAGTTATCAATAATTACAACGGCGTGTCTCTCGAGGACGTAAGAGTTCAGTTTATGTTAAGATTTCACTTTTAGAATTTGAATTATCTGCTCAGGAATTTTTCACACGCGTTTCTAGAATAAAAGAAAGGACATCATTAGTGTTTTATACCTTATACTGAGCTTAATCCAATGTTATACGATGCTGAAGTTATTATCATGAACTGTATCGAAACTCAAATTGACCTCGAAGCGTTGTTTTACAGACCTTTAGAATCAAAATTTAGAATGAATGAAATGAAAATGAACAAAAGCCAGTGTCTAAAATTCCATGAATGCCAATGAATGTGTGATGATGACGAGTGAGTCATGATCAAGTGGCCCAACATGAATTCATCATTTTATGTCATCACCAGAAGTGGTAATATATTGTTATAGTCTCCAACTTTTATGTTGACGGCGGATGGTGTTTGACAGTTGGCGGTCTGCGTTCAGCAACTGTAACAAATGGCAGGCAGGTGGTGACATTTTGCATGTTAGATCTATTTATCCCGTTCCCGGACTATGGTCCTGTGAACATCTCAATCTTTTGCCTGTGCGATTACAACATGGGAGAATTTTTTACTCATCTTACACTTCTGATACCTTATCCCGTTCCCGGACTATGGTCCTGTGAACATCTCAATCTTTTGCCTGTGCGATTACAACATGGGAGAATTTTTTACTGATCTTACACTTCAAATACCTACTTCAATAGATTCCTTGGTAATTTAGCATTCTTTTCGTGTAGTTGAATCCACAATTGTCTGGGTTTATCGGCAGAACGAAGACATTTTCGTTTTTGATCGCAATATTTGCGTGTAACATTTAACTTATTTCAACCGTCAAATTCCTCCATATTGGTACTTCCGGGCAACATCCGGGACAGCCAAACGGGGGATTCCCCTTTTAAATCCAACCGCCATTTTGAAAAGTGATGGAATCTCTCTCGATGAAAAAGAGAAAATGTTCCCGTTCTGCCGATATACCCAGACAATCGGCGGTTCCAATATATTAGAAGTTACATCTTGAGTTCTATAATGCATTGAGGTAGGTATCTTAAGTGTAAGGGGCGTAGATAATTCTCCCAAGTTGTAATCGTACAGGCAAATGAATGCGATCAGTGCAGGACTATAGTCCGGGAACGGGATAACTGATACCTACTTCAATAGATTCCTTGGTAATTTAGCATTCTTTTCGTGTAGTTGAATCCACAATTGTCTGGGTTTATCGGCAGAACGAAGACATTTTCGTTTTTGATCGCAATATTTGCGTGTAACATTTAACTTATTTCAACCGTCAAATTCCTCCATATTGGTACATCCGGGACAGCCAAACGGGGGATTCCCCTTTTAAATCCAACTGCCATTTTGAAAAGTGATGGAATCTCTCTCGATGAAAAAGAGAAATGTTCCCGTTCTGCCGATATACCCAGACAATCGGCGGTTCCAAAATATTAGAAGTTACATCTTGAGTTCTATAATGCATTGAGGTAGGTATCTTAAGTGTAAGGGGCGTAGATAATTCTCCCAAGTTGTAATCGTACAGGCAAATGAATGCGCTCAGTGCAGGACTATAGTCCGGGAACGGGATAAAGATCTATGCCATGTTAGTTCATATGGTAGCACCGTATGATGTATGTTGCCACTGATGGAAAAATGAAAACCATAATTTATTCATGGTTCCCTTTCAAAGTTCTGAAACTCCTATAAAAGAATAAATACATTCATATTTTACTAAGCCTGAATGTCACTCGACTTTTTGGTGATTTTGAAGTCGTGTCTTCACTTCACAGTTCAAAATCAACTTCTTCATTAATTTGACACCACCTTCTTATTTGCCCCACTGACCTTTTATCGTTTCTCAAAACATAATTCTCTCAAAATCATGAAATCGGGTGATAAGCACTAAGCAGGGAAATATTGTAGGGAATTTCAGTCACAAATTAATGAGTGACAACTTACACTTCCTCCGAGTGTAGATATAGATTTATTCACTTGCATTTCTACTTCATGTGTGGTCATGTCCATTCTTTTACTAACAGCCATCCTACCAGGCCTGACAGATAAGATGAGGGTCAGGTTGTGCTGGGTGCGCTTGCATCAGCCCCCTGACAAATTTTAGTGCTAGTTATGATTGTCATTGGGGCTTTCAAAAATTTGCTACTGATATTAACATTATAAAGTTAGTAAAAGGTAAATTAAGTGCCTATAATGAAAATGAAATCAGCGCATCTCTGACTTCAGATGACTACTACCAGTTAAATATTATAAAACCTCACCCCCTTTTGGGAAAAGTATCTGGCGGGGCTGACTACTGAAACTGATACCTTAAAATGGTGTAATGTCTTTGAGAGATGCAACCCTATTTCCTTTCTTGGTCGGGGAGATGGTAATCGGTATGTACATACTGAATATTGTATGACTCAGAGACTGAGCAACATGTATTATTGATTCGCTTTAAGAATATCTAATCACATTTTATTCCTTATTTTGCAGTCATACCACAAGTTAGCCAAGGAGTACCACCCAGACAAAAATGCAGATCATGGAGATAAGGTAGAGTCACTTAAGTGATATCACCATGGGCATGGGTGCAAAATTTTTGGGGTACATTACACATATATGTACAATGTACATGATGAATTTTTTTTAAATGTTTAACTGATATAAGAAATACAATTAGATTTAATGAAAAATTAAAATTAAATATTCATATTTGATAGATTATTTTTCACATTGTCTTCGGTAGCCCCATAAATGGCAGTTCCAGAAAAATTCTTATTTGTCATGCATGATGACATTTGTTTGATTTATATTAATTAATCATCTGTGTTGTATCAAATGTATCTATTATCTTGTAGTTCAAAGAGATCAGTTTTGCTTATGAAGTGCTCTCAACTCCAGAGAAGAGAGAAACATATGACAGATATGGTCTCCAAGGGTTGAAAGAGGGAGGTGGGGGAGGCGGAGGTAAGCAAAGCATTTTTAAATGGCTGAAGCACTACTTGTTCCATAAAAAGACAAGAAAATCAAAGCTTAAAAGTGAACTCAGCTTTGTGGCGAATTTATCCCAATGTAAAATCTTGAAGACTCACTCGCCTTGTAGATACTAGGGGTGGGACGGAACAGAAAAACTTCGGAACAGTATTTAGACCTTCGGAACGGAACATTTTCGGAACGGAACATCTGCCTTACCCCATCGATCCAGTCTTGGGAAACCAAAGTGCTCCCAAACTGAGCTCTTGAGGTTTTTTGGAGCATTTTCTATCGTAAAAGTTTCGGTCGGTGGTGCCATTATAGAGAGCGTACGGAGTCAAACTTGAAATGAAACGAATTAAATATTTGAAACAAAGATAAAAGATCGCGATGATTGAAATATTATTCATATACACTGCACAATTGATTAATTGATATGATAATATAGTTATTCTTCATCGAACGGGATTTTATTGGATCGTCCACTACCGCTATATTTAATCAATATATATTGATTGTTTTTGTTTGCTAAAGTTGTAGTTCTAGTGCATACTGACTCTTCAAATTTGGAGGAGAATCTCTCGTAAGTTTTAAAATTTATTTTTGATTTTAGACAAAATCGGCTTATTTACGATCTAATTGGTGGAAAAATACTGAGCTTGAGGTGTCTTGTCCCGTTCCGAAAGTGCTTCCTCGTGTTCCGAGTTCCGATACCAAACCCAAATACCGCGGAACGGAACAATTTCGGGTAACTGTCCCACCCCTAGTAGATACTGCTGCATTTTATGTTGTTTACTGAAAACATTTCTTGAACTTTGATGTTTTCAGAAAAAAAGTTTAAGAACAATGGGAATTTGAGAATAATTATTTAATGAATAATCATTACATATTAATTGGCTAATCATCATACTTCCTCTAATGAATAACACACCATTTTTAAATTCTTGTTAAATTTTATAGGTTTCCCTGGTGATATGTTTGGTGATATATTTGGAGGCCTCTTCGGGGGCATGGGTGGCGGTTTTGGTGGAATGGGAGGCCCTTTTGGGGGCATGGGAGGAATGGGAGGACGAAGAAGAGGCCCAAGAAGAGGAGAAGACACTTTCCACCAATTAAGGTTAGACATTTTATAACATAACCAATTAAAGTAAGACCCAGTGATGTCCATAGCAAGCGGGTGCTGCACTAACTTGAAAATGAGAAAAATCATAAAAATTAAACACATTTTGACCAAATTTGGTCTAAATTTTGAAAATAAGAATTTTACACCCACTTGGTGCAAATCCTGGGGAGAACATTGAGACATAACCAATCCAGGTACAACATTTTTTAACTATTTTAAGGTAAGACATGTAATAACCCAATCAATTGTCTGACAACAGGCAAAATGAATGAAAACAACCAGTAAATTTATTTGAAATCATAATTTTATCATTTTATATTTGTTCTTATTTCAGAGTGACCTTGGAGGATCTTTACAATGGAAAAACTTCAAAGCTGCAGTTGAAAAAGACAGTTATATGTAAAAAGTGTCATGGGTATGTATTTGTGTTATAATTTTACCTCTTGGAAATTAACTATTGTTTCTGTAATTCATTTGTTATTAGCCTAATTTTGAATAACTGTGTTTCACAGTTATGTGTTTCTTTACCTCTTTAACATTTTCAAAGCTCAGAGTGACTTAACTATGACAAACTTTGTTCACTAGATGTATGTAATAAGTCTCATATTGCACATTCTGTAAATACATAATTATCATAGATTGTTAAAATGTCACATCTATTATTCACACATGTAGTCTTCATGTAGCAATTATTTCAGTCTTTAAGCATGTGAATGACAGAGACATGGTATTTGTATTGACATTTGTAGCCATAATTGTTATTGTATTATGAAGTACCATATTGCAGTCACAGATCAATAAAATAAAATAAAATAAGGGTCCAGGTCAATATTCCAATGTTGTCAAAAAATATGAATATGAATTACTTTTCAGATTAACCTCTAACATCCCTTCATCCTAAAATGAAACATTAATTTGTTTTTCCGAAATTCTAATTTTCCTGCTAAGAGTCAACAGAAACAGAATAAAATGGAATTTGCCAGTGTAATGGACTTTTCCCAAGTGTAATGTTTGTGGATTTACGAGGGTTGATCCAAAAGTTCTGCACCTTTTACTCCATAATATTTGTTGATGAATATTTGGCCTCAACCCCCCATATATAGTATTTTTTGTTTTGGATGAAAAATTTATAAATTCAACCATTAAGATCTGATTACCATATAATAATAATATAACCATAAGCTATATTTCTTAAATATTAAGATCAACCCTTGTACATTGATAAATTAACCTAGACCATTAGTACCATTATATGGATTATTCATTACATGTAAATCATTTCTTGTGTAATTTCTTATTCGCAGTCAAGGTGGTAAAGCTGGTGCCATGCAGACCTGTCAATCATGCAGGGGTCGTGGGGTCAAGGTCACAATGAGACAAATAGGGCCTGGAATGATGCAACAATTGCAGTCTGTCTGTCCATCATGTCATGGTGAAGGTGAGGGCTTATTGAGATTTTAATCACAATTCTTTTCACATGAAGTCAAATGTCATACAACTTTGAAGCGTCAAACTCACGGAGGTATTCTTCTGGCTTCTTCTTGACAGAAGAGTAAAAGCGTGGAATAAATATTCATTGATAATGAATTCAAAAGTATGTACGTTTGCTGTAAATTCATCAGATCAAATGATTTTGCCATTACAGGAGAAACTATCAATGACAAAGACCGGTGTAAGGAATGTAAAGGCAAGAAAGTGTCTGATGAGACCAAGATTCTTGAGGTTCATGTAGATAAGGGTATGAAAGATGGACAGAAAATACCATTCAGAGGAGAGGGGGATCAAATGGTAAGAGAATGGAATCCATAAACTACATTTTACATTGGCTTTTGATATGGTATCCATGATTTCCCCAACATTACAACAACTGGATGCTGAATCCAGAAAATCTGAAGATTATATTCTGTTCAAAATCTGTTTGCAAACTGCTAAAGGGTGAAATATTGAGGATTTTGAGCATTCTAGGGAGAAAAAAACCTTGGGAGATCACTGGGCATTTTACATCGTCTTTTTGATCATTTGATCATCAATGTTATTATCCCATCGAACGAAGTTCGGAGGGATATAGGGAACGCCTCCGTCCGTCCGGGCAATAACTCAAATACCGTTGGCCCGATTTTGTTCATATTTTGTACACATATACCTTATGGGGGTAGAGGTTCTGCTCGAAAGCCGATTTTCAAAATGGCCACTCGTTTCAAAATGGCGGCCATTTTACAGTAATTTAGGTGCAACATGTAAAACTGTTATATCAATATGTTTAAATGTAAAAAAATTATAAAGGACATTAATAATGCTACAAATGTAGATATTAAAGAAGCACATGGCAGCCATCTTGAAAAATGGCGGCCTTTACTCGTCATTTTACGATTTTTGCTATAACTCAAAAAATAGTGGAGCGATTTTGTTCATATTTGGTATGTGAATACTATAAGCATTGTACACATTGTACATTGAAAAATGGCCGCCATTTTAACGTATTTTACTATAACTCGAAAAGTAGTGGAGCGATTTTGTTCATATTTGGTATGTGAATACTATAAGCATGGCACACTGTCCTATGACACTTTTGGTAGAAGGCGGCCATTTTGAAAATTTTTTTGAAAAATGGCCGCCATTTTAACGTATTTTACTATAACTCGAAAAGTAGTGGAGCAATTTTGTTCATATTTGATATGTGAATACTTTAAGGATGGCACATTGTCTAATAAAACTTTGGGGAGTAGTCGGCCATTTTGAAAAATGGCCACCATTTTTATGTGTGTTATTTTACAAGTATGTGTGCGATTTTTTCAAAAATTTTAGAGGTGGCTACTGAAAAGCATATTATTTCTTCTGATGACAACTTGGCTAGTGAGCAACCATTTTGAAAATGGTGGCCTTTCTGGTGTGTTGTTTTATGATATTTGCTATTCGTTTGTAAAAATGCCAGCCATTTCTGTTCGATGGGGTTTGCTACGCTTTGGCGTTGCCGTTGTTCTGGTTTGAAATCTCCCAAATTTTTATGACATATCAGTCAACAAATTTAATCAACCAATTTAATTCAATTTTCATTTTGCCTCCCAAGAAAATATAATGATTATATCAAAACTCAGTCAGAATATCAAAAAATTGATTAGAATGTTGAAAACTATTTCAATATAAGTGTAATTTATTTGTCTTTTTACAGCCCAATGTTGAAGCAGGGGATGTCATCATAGTGCTAGAAGCCAAAGAACATGATACATTTGAGCGCAAAGGGAATGACTTGACTTGTTCATACACTATAGGACTGACAGAGGCGCTATGTGGATTTAACTTTACAGTGAAACAATTAGATGGCAGAGATTTAGTCATTAAAAGTCCACCTGGAAAAGTTATAAAACCTGGTAAGAGATTTTAAGTCATTAAAAGTCCACCCAAAAAAGTTATAAAACCTGGTTAGAGATTTAGTCATTAAAAGTCCACCCGGAAAAGTTATAAAACCTGGTAAGAGATTTAGTCATTAAAAGTCCACCCGGAAAAGTTATAATACCTGGTATGTTTATCACCCTGTATTCTCATTGGTAGACTTCCTTTGACTATTATAGATGATTTAATGGTAACTATGGTGTTACGATCTTATTGATCCCAAATGAATCTAAACATCTTTTGTGTTTGAACTTGAAGTAGAATTTAACTATTTTGAGGTAGAAAATGTTATATATGTATGACTATGTCATGATTTTCTCACTGTACCTTCTGTACATTATTTCTTGTCGATGAGTGCAAAGGTAACGTGTTTGTAAATTTTATGTTTTCTTAAATACATGTATATTTAATTCATGATCAAAAAGTGCAAGTATGCATTGAAAAACATAAATGCACAGAATAATCATATATATTAATTTTTTGTTTGACTATTTGCAGGAGACGTAAAAGTTGTATATGGGGAAGGTATGCCTATGTATAGGAATCCATATGAAAAGGGAAACTTATTTATCAAGTTTGACGTGAAATTCCCAGAAAACAGTTTTGCAGTGGAAGGCAACTTAAAGGTAGGCCATATAATATTAACTCTCCAGAGAGTAGTTTCATTAAGTTCAAGGAAATTTTCTTCAGTTATACCTCAGTCATATTTGATCTTGACAACTGTATGGTGGTCATAGCTTCCCAATTTCGAGAGAAATATGCAGCAAAAATATTATAAGGGACAAGCAGTATAATGTCGATTTTCTGTATTGATTTTGTGAAGCTATGGTGGCCGTGGAGCAAATGTGACTGAAGCTTTAGTTGTACCAAAATTTTCTGTTGTTTGGAAGAATGCATTGTCTGTAATAGCTTCTTTATTCCATTCGTTCTAGGTCTGGCACAGACTGGAAAAAATCTGGCCAGAGTTGGATAAAATCAATACTTAATTAATAGTATTATTTGATAAATAATGAATTATTAATCCAGCCCCTTGAGCTAATATGAAAATGTCATCTGAAATACATATATGCAGAATTGATAAACACATCAGTTTATCATGTTGTAGAAAAACAAAGTTGTTAAGAATAACACAAAAACATTTTTCTGTTTCAGAAATTAGAAAAATTGCTGCCACCTAGGCCAAAAATAGAGATCCCAGTCGGTGAAGATGTTGAAGAAGTGAACTTAACTGACATTGACCCTACACGGGGTGGAGCATCAAATTCGAACGCTTATGACGAGGACTCCGATGACGATAATGATGGTCAAGGACCACGTGTCCAATGTGCTCACCAATAAATAATTACCACCAACACCAATAAGCTGCATACTAATGACAGTAAAAACTTGAACACACCATTAACAGGAACTGTATCAAAAGTAATATCAAACAGTTTGTACTGTGTATGCAATTTGTGCATATTCAGCTTACATGATGCTGTGCATCAAATTATGCACATTCTTGAACAGTGTGCTTATTTATTCGTACACAGAAATAGTTTTCAGAGTAAAACAGACAGCATTCACAAAAGACAATGTGCAGTGTTAAGAATTGTTGTAGAGATATGTTCGATGATAGCACAGAAGAACCCAAGTTATATGGGAGGAATGTGATTGTTGTTACAAGACTTAATGACCACCAAAGAACACAAGATGAGAATCAGCATATTTTTGCTTTGAAATAAATAAGACTAAATACACAGAATTTAAAGGATATCATACGTATGGGAATTAAAATATTGATGTAGTTACCTTAAAAACTAATGATGCAACAATCAACATGAAATGGTTAGGAAAAATAATACCAATGAAAAATATGGAAACAATGGAACATTTACTAGCTGATGGAGAAGGAGATGTCACTATACATCGAAATGATGGCATCAGAAATATTATTTATAGTTGTTATGACACATTTGATAATATCTTGGTAGTGTATGAAAATAATTTCACAATCCATTTTCACTGAAACTAATACTGTTCTTTGATAGATGTTTTGTATTTCATGCCTTTATACTTTCCTTGGTATGAATGATGGAACTTATTTATTTATGTTTATTTAGGCTGAGTCTGAGTAATATTATGTATTCAAGATAGCCTGTAGCTTTGGTTGCAGATTCTATGGCTTCAGTAATCTCCCCAGCATTAGATCAAATGAGTGCTGCACCCACTTGAGGTTTTGAAATGGGTATGCACCTTGTTGAAAAGCAATTTGCATCCACTTGAAATGGATATGCACCTAGTTGAAAAGGAATTTGCACCCACTTGAATATGAGAAAAATCATAAAATAGGCATATTATTTTCATTGACCAATTGTGAAGTGAAGTGAAAATTAAACTATTAAACTGTTGCACCCATTTGAGAAAAATCCTGATGGGAACACTGCTGTGTCTATAAGCAATTGTGTTTTTCTAGAAAACATAGAATGAATTGTCTTTTATTAAATATTTATTGCTTGGCTGCCAATGGCTGGTATTATTCTTGATTAGCTCTCGGCCCTTTGCTTACCTCCTGTAAATACCCATTGAGTCATCTTGGGAAAATTTGACATGTCTACACAATGTTTAGTCTTGCACTAGCCCCCTCTACCCCAATCCATACATATTCCTGTGGCAGAAAAGAATGAGTAAGGATTACAGGGGCCTGTTATAGGATTTTATATTTTGAGCATTTTCCAAATTGCTCATTTTTTTCAAGCTGTAACATCCTCTTCAATAGAAATAGAATATTTGGGTGTTTTATCCACAGAATTAATTGTAATTTAGGATTTAAAAAGTGGTCAATATTGTGAATGAGCAAACTGCAGGCAATGTGTCCTTCACTATTACAAATATATTATCTCAAAAAAAATCTTATATCAGATGATGAAGTTACACGGGGGTAAAGCAGACCCGATGATGCAATGAGCTTGCTCGGCGGTATCATGACTGTGTAACGGGTCTTAATGTATAAGTGTGCTCGGCAGTAGGTTCAAAGAACGCGGATCCTCAAAGCATGTGCTCATGGTATATTCAGGTTTTAACACCCGTGTAGTTATCAGAGATTTTACTGTATCAGTATCTGATGATAAAATGAGTAAATGACCAACTCAAAAAAATAAGCGCCTTTGATATTTTCAGAAGATCTAAGACAAAGATACTTCACTTGACCAATCATTTATAAAAGTTTTTCGCCTCTGATTCTTCCTCTAGTTGTAGTCTGTGAAATGTATACATAAACTCTATTCCAACTGCTTTGAAATCATGCATTTTCTAGTCTCGAGAAAGTGTTCTTTCAAACGATTTCAAGCTCTGTTGAAGTCTGATTTTATTGAAACTGGGGAAAGTTAACATTGGATTGCATAGGTATTTTTCAAGTGCCCCTTTGACATTGAAATAGTTGATTTGTGAAACAGACTAGATCAAATTGTTTTATCTCTACATGTTGTACCATACATCATCTGGATCATGAGCCGTGTTAGCCATTATATCAAAGTAAGCTTTAACCAGAGACAATTTTAACTTGACAAACATAGTACATTCTTCAGGCCCGTAGCCAGGATTTGCCAAGGGGGGTTCAGTTTTCAAAAATTTCCAGGGGGGGTTTACATTTGACAATTTTGGCACAAATATGGCTAAAATCATTTGAGAAGTGCTCAAAATGATGAAAAACTGCATGATTTTGAAAGAATTTTTGGCCGGGGGGGGGGGGGGTTCGCCTGAACTCTGAGCACCACCCTGGCTAGGGGCCTGTTCTTTAATTTGATTTCTTTGAATTTAGGAGATGATTCAGAATCAATAAATTGATGGCTGTTAGTAACTGTAATTATATTTGGCTGGGAAGACAAATTTCCATGTCATTTTGTGTCGTTGCGGTTCTGTCATAATTCCTAATGTTATGCAAGATTTAAAAATCATTTGTTTTTATTATTGATATATCAACCATCCAATCAACATCTTTGCACTGAAACTGCATCACTGACAATTTAGCAGACATTTTTACCATTGTTTTAGTCAACGGATACGTTGTATATGTGAACATAAAATATGTGAGTGATTGTGCTTTGTGATCACCTGTACCATGTACACACCTAATGTTATGGGGGTATATGCAAGGAATTGGCTTGTGATTTATTACGGCCTGTGGGGGGGATGTGGCACAATCACATTTGGGTTATCGTGCTGTAATTTTGAAGATGTAACCAAAAGGAGACTAGAGATACACTAAGTCAACCCTGGAAGTTACAAGTGTAAAAATGAGTTGTAATTTATGTACTGTACCTATGTGTAATTATAAATAAACTATCTGAAATTGAATATAATTTTTATGTTAAATCCAGGATGAAGAAAATGGAAACTGACTAGTAAAGTTAAAGAAAATTTTAGTTATTGAAAATGAAGCCAGGATAGGCACACCTTACAAATATTTTGAATATATATTGTTCATTATTATATACCCAATATGTAACACTAATCCTGATTGGTCAATACCTAGTCACGTTTCCGAAATAGATTTACTATTTCCCTCGGAAAGTTATATTCCCTCAAATGTGACGTCAGCGGGAATATACATTTGAACTATTGCCAGCTGACGTCACAATTGCAAGTTCTATTACCCGCATCATCACTGCGCAGACGAAAAACAGAAAAATGGAGGATGAGCACAAACTCAAATCAACTCCGTTCACCATGACAGACGTGAGTGAACGATACAATATAAGCAACGTGTATAAAGTTCCCTAAGCTCAATACGTCTGTGTAATTTCAAGTGTTATGATAATCTATTCTGCGTGTTAAACGCGATTGAATTTGTCAAGTGAGAGTCTCAGAGGCAAAAAATTCTGTTGAGCATCTGATGACGTCATAGCTTATAATGCTCACAATGGACCCGGGGAGGGGCCTTTCTAAGCCTTTTTGGCCTTCGCAGAGGAAACGGGACAAGAGTCAGTATAGGGTATATAATAAAACAAATAGTGACTGCCTAATTTCGTCAATGGAAATTAGGCATAAATTTTATGATTATGGTGTCTGATGATAATAAGTCAGGCCACTCTGCAACTTGATTACAGGTGTGTACACAAGTATGTAGATAGATGGCGTATTGGATGACGTCATCGCACCTGCCACGATTTGGCACTACTTTATATTATTACGCGATATAGTCCAATACTTGCTTAATTTTTTGAAACATCCAGTGTCACCAAAATTAACAAAATATCAATAATTCGTATACTAAATATATCCATCTATTATTTGAAATTATAATATTGAGCGAAAGGGCAATTTCGAAATTAGTTTTGGAAAAAAATATTATGGATGTTGTTCGGTCCTATGGGCAGCCATATTGGATAAATGGTAATTTGCAAAACCTGACAACATCTTAGCCACATTTTGTCAAAAGTACAAAGGTAATATATTTCTGCGTGCTATATAGGGTACATATGATGGGTCAAAGTGTACGATGCAGAGTTTTATTCATGTTACACGCTTATTAAGGGTCGAAATCATTGCATTACTTGGCATCCGCCTCCTTTTCCGGTTTAAATTTTTGATTTTTTTGCTGGTTGACAGAACTGAATTTTACTGATGATGACGTTCATGATTTTATACAACAGATAGTTAATATATTAATGTTGATTCGATGTGACATTATACACAGGCGAATGTAACAGATGCAATCGTATTTAGAGTGACTGACACTGTGTGTGTAACTTACATTGATGATTGAAATTGACTAAAATTTATTTTGTTGTGTTTATCAGAACAGAGGACAACCAGTAGGGTGAAGGGTTATAACATCAACACAATTTCGTCCCAATTTAGGGTAACTCCAATGTATGGGGTAACTTTGGTACCTTGTTGTTTATTCTTCTTATTCTCTCATGGACCGAGATCGATCTCCATGAGATTTTAATTTTTTTTCGAAATCCAACATAGAAATAGAAATTCTAATGACATGCTAGAGTCCATTTCACTGCTTCAGTGCGTCAGTAAAACGGCAAAAATAAGAAATTGGGAGACCATTGTGCAATAATATATGGAAAAGTATATTCATAATGTACATGAATGACATTTGTATATTTCAGATTTTTTAGTTTTTTGTGCAATAAGCCTGTGCCGTCTTGTAATTTGAAGAATTTCAGCCATGTTAATCTTATTGAAAATAACATGGCAGAGAAGCATCCAAATATAAGAGGCCACACACTTTCTAAGCCAAACTAGAAGCAATCCAAGATATACAAATGTCATTCATGTTCAATAGGAATATATTTTTCCATATATTATTGCAAAATGATATTTTGATTTCTTATTTTATAGCTTTTACTGACGCACTTTAACAGTGAAATGGACTTTAGTTGAGGGTAAATTTGATAATGACCCTTACATTTTGAAAGAAGATTAGAAAATGCTTCAATCAAGGATTTTCGCAGTGATCTCTTATTAGCAGTGGCACAGTTCAGACCTTTGATGCATGTGTATAATGTAACTCATAAGCTAAGCTCTTATAAATTCCAGATTCTTGATATAAGACATGTGTCATTTTGATCTAAGCTGGAACAATTTTGTTTATTAAGCATATTTACATGTTATTTCAACCTTGTTGATTTACTTGATTATAACAGAGTAAGCAGCATCATTTATCCTGGGTTTGAATGTTCATCTGGGTTCATCTAAAATTTAAATAGCCTTGTTAAAACATCAAAGTAAATGTTTTACCCAAAAACCAAAATGCACTTGATCTGCCAACAAATTTGAACAATTACAGTTGGATCAACGTCAAAGAAAGCTCTTCTTATGATATTTTTGTTGTGTCATTTGTTATACTGAATGAGTGATATATTGTTTTGTAGAAGGGCATCATGCCTACACCTAAAAGACTGCGAGATCTTATACGAGAGATCCGAGCGGCCAGAACTGCTGCAGATGAGAGATCAGTTGTTAACAAAGAATGTGCTGACATACGTCAAACATTCAGAGAGGAGGATAACACATACAGATGCCGCAATGTAGCCAAATTATTGTACATACACATGCTAGGATTTCCTGCACATTTTGGCCAGGTAAAGAATACAAGTTATTATATAGCGCAATTGTGAGTAATCACATCAGTGTTCTTTTCACAGTTATGCCCAAAGTTAATTAAAGTACAGGGTTATGTTAGTTTTCATCAATGTGGAGTCCACAGCTAATATAATTCGACACCGTTTCGGCATCGAACAAATTCGGCACCGTTTTTTACACTGTTCCGGCACCGAAACCTTTCGACACCAAAATTTGCTACCGGACTAGTCAGTCCATTTGGTGCCGAAACAGCACCGAAATTTGGCACCAAAACGGCGTCGAAAATCAGATTGCATTTTGGGGGTGTACATGTATATACTCTCCCTAAAGTTGACAAGTTCCTCTCTGCATAAAGCTAAGAAAGGGTTTTGGGGAAGGTATGGCCGCAGTACATTTTCTGCAAATGTGACAGGCATAAGACTAAAAAAATTCCTTTGATTGTCAGGCGTGTCATATACATTTTTTAAGGTTTTAACATTAGTTGCGTTTTATACAATGCTAGCTTGGAAGAAGCAGGCGTATGTGTTAGGGAGGGGATAATCGATATAGAAAACCTGTATATCAAAACCACTCTTATCTGAATATCTTGGTCCCAATTTTGTCTCCCATTGATTTACATATTGAGAAACATTGAAATGTGAACACCTGCTAATCTGAACACTTTTGACCAGTCTCTGTATTTGGATTAAACAGGTCTTACTGTATTTATATTTTTATATGGTATACATAAGACATGTAACATTCTTAAAGATCCTCTTACATTATTTGATTTATATAGCTGTGATTGTAAACTTAACTCTCTAGAGTACTAACATAGACCTTTGACAAATTCAATTTTACATGCTTGAATTGAATCTGATATTCAATCAGTATATTTGGAAAATCCTTTGAGAAGAATATAACTGCATTAGTTTTTTGAACCTTTTGATTGGGATACAATTTTTTACATTTTTTGCAATTAGAAGTGATATGTTTTTGTTGTGTATCTTATTAGAGTTAATTGGTAGGAGAAACATCAATTTTAACTAAGCTGCAGATGTGGCTGTTTTTATATTTTCTCTAAAATAAGTGAGAAGTTATGTTGACTCTACATATTACAAATTATATTTTCTCTCTTGGGTCAGATTAGGAGCCTACCAATTCAGTCCTTTCATTTGCAGATAATCTGTTGAATTTACCATGTTTGAAACAAAAATTTCCAGTTAATTTCATAGATACAACTTATGTCTGTTCACAAAGTTAGCACCGTTAGGATGCAAGTTTTCTATTGTAACAAAATGTGTCATGGGACTTACCCATTTACAGTAAAACCTTACAGTAAAACTTTACAGTAAAACCTATCAGAGGGCTCATCTTACTCTCGGGGAATATGTTTTCAGCATAAACACTTAGAAAACCAAATCACTTTCCTCGACTTTCTTCCAGAATTTCAAGGAAGGGCATATAGAGCTCAATATTGGCAACTCTTGGGGGATTTCACGTAAACAGGAAATGAAAAGCATCATAGGTTCTCAACTGTAATGTTATATAACTCCTTCAAAACATTCCTGCTTTAGATAGCACAAGAGTCTTGTTTAAGTCTTTAATTGAAATTGAAAAGTATATACCCTCACAAAGATGATGAACAGTTTGAAGATATATGCTTGAATTAGATAAATATTAATTATTATGTAGTAAAAAATCAATGCATTATCTGTTTTATTATTTTCACCTCATATTAATGCCGGGCAGTTTGATTAATACAAATCTTAACTTCCTGTCGAGTTTCTGCTTTATCTATAAAGATTACACATAGTTTCTCACTAATATTTTTCTCTATAAGGTATAATAATATACAGTTTATATATCTCAGAGTTAAATTTAAGTATGTATGGTAAAGGTAACTTTTTTTCCGAAAAAAACAAAATGCAAGATATTCAGAGACTTTTAATGCACTGTATAAAAAGACTGTAATTAGCGAAGAATTTTTTGTTGGGTTGTTCCATCCTAATCAGTTCTTCTAGGTTTAATCTGAAATATTGATTATTCAAGGTGAATTATGAGAAGCTCTAATGCTGATAAAGAAATCTAATTTCTGATTATCTTATGTAAAACAGTTATCATTGTTTTCCTATATCAAGTCCCTATAAGCCATGTTAACTTCCTTGTATTTTCTCCTCAATGATTTTTTTGTTTGTTTTGGACTGGTATTCAGAAATCTAGAGATATTATCAAATCAAAAACTTCAAATTCATGACATCTATGAATCAATGACATTGACTTAACTTAGATTATTTGGAATGATATGATGCGTAGCATCTTACAATATAACAAATATTTGTTGGTTAGAGACACTTATGCATTATGATTTCCAATAGCTTGATTTTTCTTCTTTAAAAGAGGTCTTCATCTGTTTATTGTACTAGGGTTGATACTTGGGGCATGTCTTTTGAGTCTTGATCATATGTGAACTCTTTATGTTAGAATACAAGAAATATAAGGAGACTAGCTAGATACCTAACTAGCTCTTGAATCCATGCTCTTTTGGTTGAAACCAGAAAATTTTTCATTTTTGCCAACTTTGACATTTCACAACACACACATACAACAGGTGATGCAGAATTTTAGAGAAATTAGTCAGCAGAGATTATTTGTACACATTTTTAAACACAATTTGTGTAAAGTGGATGAAGTTTGTTCAATTTTAAGAAATTTTATTGTACTCCAGTAAAATCGTTGTAAATTTTCACAAATAAATGAAAAAATTGCAACACAGAGTAAACCTAGTGTAATCAACACCCATTGGTAAGTAAAACAACAAATCAAAAATCTAGAAAACTCTAAGTAGTGGAAAACCTTAAAATCACCATTTATACCCCTTGGGATAATTTTATGAGGGGGTAATATGATAATCATTAATTATTTCTGTTACATAACTCTAATCACTATAAAATCTTCAGGGATCATGCGTCTATATATAGTGAGTAGTCAAGACAATTTTGAAATTAATTGGTCAATTGGTTACCATAGCAACACAATTTAATTGCTCAAAATCTTAAATATTTCAGGTAAATCTGAAGCTTCTTATAATAACAGATGTTGCCATTTCTCTTCAAATCATTTGAAAATGAACATTAAACTACCCTAAAAACATATTTGGGGAGTGTTTAATAAGATAACATGATAAATGTGATAAATTATATGATATCTTTGACCCTGAACTCTTTTCTATTAGGGGACTACCTCTCTATCTACTCAAAAGTTGGCGTGGCACTTTTCAGTGATAATGTCCTAAAACAGTTATTTTTACAAAATCAGTCACAATTATATTTATAGGGCTCATGGATATGGATGTTATTCTTTAATATGGTGAGTCTGTACATGATTGGTCAAGGGGTTGCCATAGTAACACAGAGCATAATAAACGCAAATAGTGTAGTGCATATGTTCTGAAAAAACTTATCTCATAACATAGAACATGATTCAACCTCCAGCGTATATGGTGTCCTTCAATACCAAGAACATGTCATCCAATAGTCTAATATGGTAGAACCTGAGACTATAGAATAGTTCAGAAGAGTCTAAATTAGTTCAGCCTCCAGAGTATATAGAGATGGTACAGCCTCAAGAGTATAAAATTAGTGCAGTCTCAAGAATCTAATATGATACAGCCTCAAGTAGTATATGTATTCAGCATCCAGAGTCCAAGATGATATAACATTCAGAATCTAAGATTGCCATAGTAGTCAGAGCCTAGACTCAGTACAGCCTCCATAAGTCTAAGATGGTGTAGCCTCCAGACCCTTAGATGGTACAGCCTCCAGATATAACATGGGATCAGTCTCCAGAGTATAAGATGGTACAGCTTTCAGAGGCTATGATTGCTATAGCATTCAGAGCCTAGGATAGGTACAGCCTCCATGAGTCTATGATGGTACAGCCTCTAGATATAACATGGAATCAGTCTCCAGAGTCTAAGATGATAAGTACAGCCTCCAAGAGTCTAACATGTACAGCCTCCAACCCTTAGATGGTACAGCCTATCGATATAACATAGGACCAGTTTCCAGATTCCAAGATGGTACAGCCTTCAGAGCCTAAAATGGTTCAGCCTCCAAAGTTGAAAATGGTATAGCCTACGACTAATATTAACAATTAGAGTCTAATATGGCCTCGGGAGTTTAATGGGTACATCTACTTCTGTAATGGCTACAACCTTCAATTCCAAAAGTCTAAGATGACCCTGCCTCTATAATTTAAAATTGATACAGCCTACAGAGTCTAATATGGTACAACATCCAGAGTATAATATGAATTCAACCTCCAGAGACCAATATGGCATAGCTTCAGAGTTTAATTTGGATTCAGCCTTTAGGGCCAAAGATAGTACAGCCTTAATAGTCTATGATTTCTATGAAAGTCAGGAGTCAAATATAGGTACAGCCTCCAAGAGTCTAAGATAGTACAACCTACAAGAGTCTGAGATGGTATACCCTCATAGTCTACAATGGATACAGCCTCCTAGAGACTAGGATGATATCGCCTCCAGAGTCTTCAATGGGTATAGTCTCCAGAGTCAAAAATGGTATAGCCTCCAGAACCTTTGATGAGTTCTTGGAACAGCCTTCGAGAGAAGATGGTACACCTTCCAGATGCAGAGTTAACAATGAGTACAGCCTCCAAGAGTCTACAATGGGTATAGCCTCCAGAGCTTCTAGTGTTTAATGGGTACATCATCCAGAGTTTACAATGGGTACAGCATCCATAATCTAGGATTGATACAGCCTATATAGTCTAAGTTGATAAATCTTCTAGAGTCTAAGATGTCAAGAATCACAATTTTGCCACATATTACATCAATGAGTGATTAATAAATTGATATAAGATGGTACGGCCTCTAGAGTCTTAGAGGTTGTAGACTCTAGTGTTTAATGGGTACATCCTCCAAAGTCTACAATATCCATAATCTAAGATTGATACAGCGTACAGGGTCTAAGTTGGTACATCTTCTTGAGTCTAA